AAAGAGGTCAGATGGGTTCTTAAAGTTGAGTAGAGAATGGTGCGTATAAGGATAGCGGAGCGAGTGATGAACTATTCACCTCACGATAAAGAATCGGCTTATAGTTTTTATTCAACACATAAGTTCCCTGAATCAGAATTTTTGGTTATTTTAAATCTCGCTATGCTTCCCGCACAGAATAGTAAGGAGGAAGGAAGGAAGGAATTTTTTTTTTTTAATTGCCTTTGGACCTCGATAATCTGGAATTCCGGAATCCGTACTAACACCTTTTTTTTTTTTTTCGTTACAATTGATGAGTAAAATAGATATAGGATAGAATAGTCAGGATGAAAGAGGAGTCCTCGAGGCATACCTGCGCCAGTTAAAATCAACGCTCGCCCATTACTCGCTTTGAGATGCCTTGTTATTAGGTTAATGGATTCTTTGATGTCTGATGTTTGTGAGGTCTCGGAAAAAAACGCGGATTTGGAAAGTGCCCTGGTTATTATAAGATTCAGTTTTTGCATATTCTATTGTACTGTACTGTACTGTCTGTAGTAGTATGTCCCAGAATACATCATCATAAATTTACTCTTCACGTGTCGAAAATATGTAACACAACACAATTCATGTTGTTTACTTACCCCCATCGACATTTGCTTTATTCGTTATGAATTCCAATAGTGAATGCGAACTTAAACTTAATTTTCCGTTTTACATTGATCCCGTAAGGAAAGTACAAATACCTCACTATGTCCACCCTAAAAAAAACGGTAATATTCGTCCTCTCTTTCCTAACGCTGAGGATGGCGTTTCGAGTGTATCAGATCCCCCTCCGGTGAAGGGGCGGAAAGGGAAGTGGAGTAATAGGGACATCGAAATCCTGCTTGATTATGTTGAAGCGAATTGTGATCAATGGCAGTTTTACAAGGCTGGCTTTTATAGATTCCTTCAGCAAAATGTTCTCAAACATAAGAATATCAAGCAAATGCAGAAGCAACTGTTCACCCTCCTCTGCAGGTATCGAAGATACAAAGCCAAGGGGAAAAGAAAGTTTGAGTGGTACGACAGGATGCACGAAATTTTCAAAGATCGTAAAGAACCGCATCTCCAAGAAATCACTAAAACCGATAAGGGAAACGATCCGCATAATTCGGGACAAAAACTCATCGGGAAGAAGCGTAAGCAGGAAGAATTGGATACTGATTCTTCGCCGAGTGACGAAGAAGAATCGACGTCAAAAAAAAAGAAACTTCCACTTTTGGCCCATTCGCGTAGATGGTCTTGCGAAGAAATGAACATCTTGTTGGATTTCATCATGGAAAACGTTGACGCGTTTGTTGAAAACAACAGTTTATTCTGGTCGTGGATGTCTCACAATGTGCTCCTGGGGAGAGCTCCCATGCAAATAAGGAGAAGATATGTTATCCTCAGTCCAACCTGCAAGTACGGAAAGAGATTGGAAGTCATGAAAGTGCCTGATGAATTGATTGCAAAACGAGACCGTTGTTTTGATTTAATAAAGGATAAGAATGCCATGAGGAAGAAAAAAAGAGGCAAAAACAAATTCCTGAAACCCGTCACATTCAAGTTTCCAAAAGATTACAAAGGATACGCGCCGTCAGATGAGAGTACTCGAGAAACGGTTGAAATCGAATCAACCGATACTGAATCAGTCAGTCCTCGTTATGTCGACATTCGTCAAAACATCACCGATATCATGTACGCAAAACACTTGATGAAATACAGTCTTGACGAGGACGTTCAGTTGTTGAGGTAGGAGATCTCGTGTCGATAAACTACTAATTTGTGAGTTTCTTTATTTTCAACGTTGATCTCGAATTTTTATTCAGGAAATGCTTTGGAGGTTCAAGTAAAATGCGTTGGCCAGGAAGGTTGCAAGAGATTGGAGTGTGAGTTGATCATTTTTTATCGGAATTTATGCAGAAGCTTGTTGCTAAAGGATGTTAGATCAACCTCAACAGGATGGCCCAAAGATACGGTCCCATCGGCTGGTCGGACGACCTCGATGAAGAGGAGTTCGAGATAATCGGCACCAATGACACAAGGGTCCCGTCAGCATTATATTTTGATGATGAAGACGGCGAATCTCGGACATCGATTCAAGATGCTCTTCAACCACCATCGGGAAAAATATCTGAAAAGATGATGGATCGGGAGATTGGATTGATCATGAATTTAGTGAGCCGACAAGAACCAGAAAATGGAGACAATGCGGATAATGAGTGGAAACACAGTGTAACCGACTCAGTCATGCTTTCCTTGAGGAAAACGTTGAATGAAATAGGACTTTTGTGTTCCGAAAATACTGATGGGTAGGAGCCGATCTATTGGAATAATTGTGTTTTATTTTCATTAACATTTTTTCTACCGAAATTAGCACCATGTCTGTTAACAACCCGGATGCCAGCAAAGATGAGGTTATCAAATGGGATACCGTCCTGCGTGCAGCATCCATGGCAAAACTGCCGCCCAGGTAAAATTGTGCATCACTCCTCTCGCATTTTGGTTTAAGGGTTTGTTAGTGCACCCCTCTAAATCTCCTTTTTTTGTTTCAAGTGTGATCTGGAATACCTATGAACGGATCTCAAAATATTATGACCAAGAAAAGAAATTTTCTGGCATTAAATGATCCACTACTCTTGGAGAACAACCCTTTTAGATAATTTAACATTTCTCGTTTAAAAAAAAAAGGAAACACAGTATATTTGCATATACGGTATATATTTAAAAAGGTTCTGTTATCAAGAAGCAACGAGATGTAACAGAGTTTGAAATATGAATGACATGGAAGATGTTTTTCACATCGTCTGCGGTTATCTAGAAGTATAATAATGCCAAAAACAAACAAACAATGTAATAAAGCAAAAATCCTCGGGTTAATAGATGTTGAAAGAAAGAATGGTTGAGTTCTTTATTATGTGTATTATATATATACCTCATGCTATTGAAAATATGTACATTTGAACTTAAAAAAAAAAACTAATTAGACAAAATTAATTACAATGATTAATACTCTTAATGCGATGTGTATTTTTTTTTTTTCTTTGTAGATGATCAATAGTATGTGATAGTAATTAATCTATTATTAAACTGTATCACCAGAGTTTGTGTTTTTTGGTTATTTCAGTAGATCCAATTCCGTCCCTTGTCATAAAGCATTGTTTATCTTGTGCATTCGAAAATGTATTCACATCATCATTCTTCGGAAATCGATTTTGTTCCATCTTCATTATAAACGCAATTCCAACTTAGATGTGTGTTCGGATGTAAGACCCCTAGATCAATGTAAGTATTCATGATGTTGATATGTTCGGTCAACCAGCTGACCCCATTTCTGAATAGCAACATCAATCCAACAATGTTTTTCTCATGGCAATGCTTGAGAAAATTCTTTAAGGCTGAAGAGATGCAGATGAAGTCTTTGTCAAACACAAGATGCTCGAGATCCTTTGGTAAATTTTCCCCAATTTTTTGAATCGATTGGCTAATATCCAAATTCGTCCACCCTCTGAACTCGATGCTTTTCAAATGTTTACACGATCTCAGGATGATTTGCAGGTAATCGATGTTACTGGCAAGTATGGTAAGTTCGAGACGTATCAGGTGAGGGCATGAGTTGGCGATTGTAGTAAAGAATGATTGCGCGTTATCGGGATCTGACTCCACGCTCCACCAAACTATCCCGAGACTGGTGAGATTTCCATTTGTATTCTTTATTATTGTTGACATCCTTTGATAGCAAATTGTGAATGTTATATCAAGGGACAGATTTGTCAGTTCTTTAAAATATGTGAATTTGACCAAGGGTAACAAAGCCTCCTCATCAATATCCACATAAGGGGACTCGTCATCGTTGTTTCCTCTCAAATTTTTGACATAGAAATCTTGTAACTCATCTGTTTCCTGCCACATTCCAAACACTTTTAGATCCTTACCCTCGGAGAGAATGCTCAGAGGAATGGATCCCCCTCCGATTATGTGAAACTCTGTGATCTCACTCATCTTTTTTTTTACGGCCGATGTTATGTTTGGAACAGCCCATCTCGTTTGATAAATCGTTAGCTGTGAAATCATGTCAACAGTATTTATGAGGGTTGCCAATCCCAAATTGTCCTCGGATTTGCAATGAATCTCCATGAATCCAATACTCGAAAACACTTTGCTCAATTCCTCAAATATTTTCGGTTCCCACCACGTGAAACATTCCAGGGTCTCAAGTCGAATTCTCGATGGAAGAATTTTTGACAGATCCTGTAGGAATGTAAATGTGTCATGTCTGTATTCTCCCCCGTGCCTATTTAAACTTGGTATGAAATCCCTGTAAGCCTCGAATTCTATGTAGTACTTGAGGTTTCCACATCGAGAATCAAAAAGAACGCAAAGTTCCCGGAAGACGGCGATCTTTGAATGTATCCTTCGTTCCCGTAGTGATAAAAGCTCGCATTCGTCACATTCATCCGCTGTCACCTCGCCCTCGGATTCTCGATCGTCATCGCAAACTTCCAGGAATTCGTTGTTGTTCTCATCTTCGTAATTATCGTCTCTTTCGCCGCCGTCGTGATCTTCGTTTTCCTCTACGTCAAACTCATAATCTATCGAGGCCCCCCGGACCCTGACCGTATAGTGAAGAGTCCATACGTCCACCGCGTGATATAAGTTGATAAAATTCAATTTTTTTAAGAAACTGGCATAATTGAGCAACGGCTTCTGAAATTTCTTCAATTTTATTGGTACCACTCCCGAATTATCTCTCAACATCAATCTCGTCTCGAACGGCAACAGACAATAATAGATCTGTATGATATCTTTGTACTTTGTGATATTCCTAAAATTAAAAGGTTCCTGCCAAATCAGGTAAATCGCGTTTTTGCACCAGTATCGGTTGACCAGTATGCAATTGAATAGATCACGGAGGTAACCTCGGTAAGCGTGTTCATCGTGGTAAATATAATAATCGTTCAATACGTCTGACTCGTCGCTTGGTGGTTTGTATTCTGAGTCGTTTGACGGATATAACGTATAGAGATTTTTAAAAATTCCTTGTAACAGTTCGGGTGACAAACGTGAGACCATATTTTTTGCCTGTGACAAATGAAGTTTCTTTTGAAAATAGTTTTTCACAAAGTTGCGTGGTGTAAATCGTGATTCGCCTGTGGCAGAGCACGTAGACGAAATAACAATCTTATAATCTCCGTTTTATTT